GAGTGGAGAGAAACTTTTCAAACCATACTTTTGGGGCCTGCTTCAATCCATATAAAGAGGGTTTCAATTTGCAAACAATATTCGGGGAGAGGGTCGACATACCACCAGGAAATGTGATGTAAACTTCCTCCTTAAGGTCACCATGAAGGAATGCATTTTTGACATCCATTTGATGTAATGGCCAAGATTTGGATGCAGCAAGAGCAAGGATAGTGCGCAAAGTGGTCATCATGGCAACTGGAGAAAAAGTCTAATCATAGTCTAGGCCATACTCTTGCTTATTTCCATGTACAACCAGTCGCACCTTGTAACGGTCTATGGAGTCATCCGAAAGCAGCTTTATAGAGAGCACAAACTTGATGCCTAAGGGTTTAACAGATGGAGGACATGGCACTATATCCCATGTCTGATTTTCTTCCAAGGTGAGAAGTTCGCTTTCAATAGATTTTTGCCAACATTCATTATGCATTGCATGTTATAAGAAGAAGGAATAGGAATAGATGATAATGTTGTTGTCATGGAATAGATATACCTTTATGGGGGCTTACCAATGCGTGAACTGCGTCGTAAAGGAGCTGGTTCTGGTTTTGGAGCTTATACTGGATCAACATCCAAGGAATTATCTTGAAGGGGCTCATGTGATTGTGCTAGGTGATGGTGAGTGGCAGTATTTCGCCTTTGATAGGTCAATAGAGGTCTAGATGATGAGTGACCTGCAGAAGAATTAGAAAAAATTAGCAAAACAGAAATTGGAGAAGGGACTGAGTCATGATGGTTTGCAAAAAAATATACAATTTCTAGAAAAATGACATTTCGAGAGACCCGAATCCGATGAAGGTTAGGATCATAACATAGAAATCCCTTTTGATGAGGAGAATAGCCAAGAAAATCACATTCAACAGATTGTGCAGTGAGCTTGGTACGTTCATGTGGAGGAAAATGGACATAACATGCACAACCGAAGATACGAACAGTGGAGTAATCGGATGGGTGACCAAATAATCGAGTGAAAAGAGATGTATTACTTATAGAAGGAGATGGCAATTTGTTTATAAGATGAACAACAGTGGAAAGGGCTTCACACCAAAATCGTGATGGCACATGTGACTCCAGCAAAAGGGTGCGGACAACATCTAATAAATGGTGATTTTTTCGTTCAGCTACCCCGTTTTGTTGGGGGGTTGATGGGCATGATCTTTGAGATAAAATGCCATTAGATTGCAACAATTCCTAAAATAAGTGTGATGTGTATTCCCCCATTATCAGAACGAAGAATCTTGATTTTGGAGGAGAATTGGGCCTAAACTTAAGCATAAAAAAATTTGAAAGTGGAAAAGGCTTTATCTTTTGAGTGTAGAAAATAGACCCAAGTGAAACGACTATAATCATCAACAAAAGTAACAAAATATTTTGTAATGAGCATGAGACATAACTTGTGCCACCCCCAAACATCACTATGGATGATATCAAATGGTTGTGTTTCATGCGAATGGTGTGTTGGAAAAGGTAGAATTTTACTTTTGCCAAGCTTACAAGGAATGCAATCGAAATGAATAATAATAAGAGATGGAGTGTGTTTATTTCCACGAAAACCATATTTGAGCATGTCATGGAGTACATTTGAGTTGAGATGCCTAAGGCACTTATGCCACACTTGGTGATCAATAATAGCAGAATTACAAAAGACGAAAGGCAAAAAAAGACTTGGAGACAGCGAGAAATGGATGGGAAAAAGACGTCCAACTTTAGGCCCCTTCGTGATTATCTTCCCCGAGTGTTGATCCTGCACAAGACAACCAGACTATGAGAATGAAACTCGACAATCATTGTCGACTAATTAACCAACAGAAATGAGATTATTGGTGAGACCAAGAGTAACAAAGACATTTTTTAAAAATGAAGAAATATCACCAGTTTCTGTTATAGGCAATTGATTTCCACCATCATTATGTATCTTGAGATTCCCTAAATATTTTTCTATATTAGTAAGGAATCGAGTATTATTGGTCATGTGGTTGGAAGCCCCATAATCAAAGTACCATGGTGAAGAGGAGTTACCTGAGAATCCCAAAGCAGAAAAAGCTGAAATGATAATTTGTTGAACAATTTCAAGGGTCAAAGTTGGAACATCAGTAGTAGCATTTTGATGGACAGGTGTTGGATTGGCAGAACTGTTGGGATTAGAAGAACAGGTTGTGGTGGTAAAAGCTCTTGCAAGTCGTCGTGGTGGCCTTATTGGGCATTCCTTAATAATATGACCATCCTTTTTGCAATAGTTGCAGAATTTTTTCGGACAAGCTGAAGCATAGTGGCCAAAACGCTTGCAACTAAAACATTGAATAGTGCTCATGTTATGGCGGCGTGACTTCCCTTGTGTCGCGTATGCTACTGTAACAGTAGACAATTTTTGTTCTTCAATGATGGACTTGTAAGAAGACGTTGTTCTTCACGTAACAAATCATTAAGACATGCATCCAACGATGGGACAAGATCTCTATGCATGAGAATGGATCGGATACCTTCAAAGTCAGATCGCAATTTCATAAGAAATTGGTCACGTTTAGTAATATCATGAATTGTTTGGACGGAATTAGACCTTCAGAAGGCAAGTTTGCATAAACTATATCAGTGTATTCAGCCCAAAGATTCATGAATTGAGAATAAAAATTAGAGATGGAGAGACTATCCTATTTAAATATAGTGATGTTATGCTCAAGATGGACGGCGAGCTGCATTATTTTCACTATAAATTTTCTTCAGGTAAGACCTCATTGTGGCTACAGTCTTGTAAGGGTGAAGATTCAGGACAATGTTCGAATCAACGGAACCAAGGATCCAGGCCATGACTTGAGAATCTTTGACTACCCATTTGGCATGAGCAAACGTATCTTTTGATCTTTGTTAGGGGCAGGAGTGTTGCCATCAACATGACCCCACAAATCTTTTCTGGTGACAAAGATTTGGAATTGGAATGCCCAAGCTGAGTAGTTTTTCTTATTACGGCGAACAAATAAGACATCATATTTTTCGAAAGCCCGAGCTAGGAAAATAGGAAACGAGAAAAAAAACCCAAGAAGAATCGCGAATCTAGGATGAGGCTGGAAAACCCAAACTAGGTTTTAGGATTGTAACCTAGACTGATACCATGTTAAACTCAGAGAAGATTGAGCCAAAAAGTTGTGTTTCCTCTTGCTGGAGAATTTTCATATAAATACACATGATTACAATCAGTCAAGTTGATTTTCAGCCCACTAAATAAGCTAAACTGCAATATATACATTAACTACAACTAATTATCCTAATTAACAAAATAACCGTTACAAATAAATATACAATTGCAAATCTTTTGTCATTCATTCTGTTGACATGATGTGCCCTTTATGTATCTCATTATGCATTTAGCAGCAAGCATATCACTCTTCTTGGGCTGATTCATGAATATGCTTATTAAACACACACAGAAAACCAACTCAGGTCTGTTCCTGCACAAGAACATTAATGACCCGATTATCTGTTTATACATAGTTTCATTTACTACCTCCTCTGCATCATCATCTCTTAATTTGACATTCACCTCCAACGGACTTTTTACAGCGTTGCACTGATTCATTTTGAACCTCTCAAGCAGGTCTTTCACATTCTTATGTTGATGCATGATCATACGAATAGCGGTGTGCACGAATTCCATGCCTAGAAAATAGCTGAGTTTGCCAAGATTTGTCATCTCAAACTCAGTCTGCATCATTCTTTTGAACTCTTCAATGTCCTCTAGGTTCGAACCTGTCACTAAGAGATCATCTACATACAAGCATATGATTACCAATTCTCCACCCGAGGCTTTAACATATAATATGTGTTCTACAACACACCTCTCAAAGCCGAGATCAAGCAAATAAGAGTCGATTTTCTTATTCCAGGCTCTAGGTGCCTGTCTCAAACCATAAAGAGCTTTATGCAGCCTATACACCATGTGCTCTTTATCCCTTTCACTGAATCCAGGAGGTTGCTGAACATACACTTCTTCCTCCAATGATCCATGCAAAAATGCTGACTTAACATCTAACTGAAACAGCTGCCAATTTCGTTCACATGCAAGTGCAACTACCAAACGTATGGTTTCCAGCCTGGCAACAGGAGCAAAGACTCCAGTAAAATCCACTCTTTGCATTTGCAGAAAACCTCTGACCACAAGCCTTGCTTTATACTTTGACACAGTGTCGTCTGGATTTAGTTTCCTCTTGAAAACCCACTTTACACTGATGCACTGCTTTCTAGGTGGAAAATCAACTAGCTTCCACGTCTTGTTCTTCTCGATTGATCTAAGTTCATCAATCATAGCTTCCTTCCAAACTGATTGCTTCAATGCTTCATCCACCTCCACCGGTTCTGCACCAGTCATAAGTGCAAGATGAAGTAAATCTCCTTCTTCATTAATCTCTACATCTGAGTATATCTCATAGTCAGAAAATCTCGATGGCCTCACCGTTTGTCTTCTAGGCCTCTGCACCGTTTCACTCGAATAAAGATTGCCTTCAGTAGTTGTTTCGATTCTTTCTAGTGTAGACTCATCTGTAAGTCCATGCAACATTGTTTTCTTCAAACTCGAGTGCATGTGTTTCCAATCCCAGCGTTAATTCTCTAACACGATCACGTCTCTGCTCAACACCATTCTCTTGTTTACTGGATCATATAGCTTATACGCTCCAATCGCATGGTACCCCATAAACACCATTGGTTCTCCCTTATCTTCTAATTTGGTCCGCTTTTTGATCTGCTACGTGTGTGAATGATAAAGAGCCAAACACCTTAAAGTGTGTCATAAATGGCTTCTTCCCGGTCCAGATCTCAAGCGGAACCTTGCCCTCCACCTTCTTTGTAGGACACCTATTTAGTATATACACAACTGTCGACACAGCTTCTGCCCAAAAACTTCATGGCAACTCCTTCTCCTTGATGAGACATCTTGCCATATTCATGATGATGCGATTTTTTCTTTCCACCTAGCCATTGTGTTGTGGCGTATACAGTGCAGTGACTTCATGCGTGATTCCATTGCTTTGACAATAACTCTCAAAGGTATGTGAGGTGTATTCTCCACCTCCATCAGTTTTGAGAATTTTCAACACCTTCCCACTCTCCTTTTCTGCAACAGCTTTAAATATCTTGAACATCTCCAAGACTTCACTCTTTGCCTTGATCAAATGTAGCCACATCATTTTGTTGTGCTCATCAACAAAAGCCAGAAAATATTTGTTGCCTACCAAAGAGGGAACCTTAATCAAATCACAGACATCAGAATGTACAACTTCAAGACACTCCTTTGATCTCTCCTCGACTGAGACTAGAATGGCTTTCTAGTTTGCTTGCTTGTCCAAGACGACTCACATGCATTAACTGGCAAAGAAATATTTGGCATACCTGATACCATACCCTTCTCACCAAGCCTCTACAAATCTCTGAAATTCAAATGCCCAAAACACAAATGACACAACCAACTTTCTTCTTCTTTCACAGTAGCCAAACACTGCTGACTTTCAATTTCCTCCAGACTGACTTGAAAGGTCCTGTTCTTAGAGATCTTACTCGTCAACATTAGCTTCTTGTGGCTATCAAGCAACTCAACTATATCACTGTTTCCCGTTATTACAATATATCCTCTTTCTACCAATTGCCCAACATTGAGAAGATTACACTTCATTGTAGGAACGAATAACACGCTGGAAATTATAGCTTGTGAACCATTCTTCCTGTTGATGATCACATCACCCATTCCTTCAACCATCAATGTATTATTTTCTGCGAACTTGACTTTGCTCTTCTTGGTTTCGTCAAAATTCACCAACCACTTTCTATTACACGTCATATGGTTTAAGCAACCAGAGTCTAAGTACTAGATCTTATTCATTGTAGAGGAGCATTCAGTGGAGGTCATTATCATCAGTGTTAAAGGCTTAGAGTAAGAATCTTCTTGTGCAAGATAAGCTTCTTTACTTTGATACTTCTTCTTCTTCTCCTGCTTTCCTTTGCCCGAGAAACATTCATATGAATAATGTACCATCTTATGACAATTAATACATTCAATGTTTTTCTTGTCCTTCTTCTTCTATTGTTTATCAAATTTCCCTTTGCCTTCAACAGACTCATACCTTTCATCTTGCTCATTTGTACCATTATCATTCTTCCATTTTCCTTTACTTGACTTTCCCTTCCACTTCTTGAACTTCGTTTTCCCTTCGCCCATTTTATGATGTGCCTTCAGTGCCTGCTCATCAGGCTTGATAGGATTTCTTTCCTGCATTCTCATTTCATGTGCCTCCAAGGAACTTTAAAGTTCTTCTACCTTTAGTTTTTCAAGATCCCTGGACTCCTCAATTGCTACCACAATATGATCAAACTTCTGAGGCAGTGATCTCATAATCTTCTCAATTACCATGAGATCAGTAATAGTTTCACCACAACCTTTCATCTGGTTAGCTATTGACAATACTTTGTTGAAGTAATCACTCACCTTATCACTGTCATNCTTTCATCTTGCTCATTTGTACCATTATCATTCTTCCATTTTCCTTTACTTGACTTTCCCTTCCACTTCTTGAACTTCGTTTTCCCTTCGCCCATTTTATGATGTGCCTTCAGTGCCTGCTCATCAGGCTTGATAGGATTTCTTTCCTGCATTCTCATTTCATGTGCCTCCAAGGAACTTTAAAGTTCTTCTACCTTTAGTTTTTCAAGATCCCTGGACTCCTCAATTGCTACCACAATATGATCAAACTTCTGAGGCAGTGATCTCATAATCTTCTCAATTACCATGAGATCAGTAATAGTTTCACCACAACCTTTCATCTGGTTAGCTATTGACAATACTTTGTTGAAGTAATCACTCACCTTATCACTGTCATCCATCTACAAGTGCTCGTATTGTCTCCTTAACGTTTGAAGCTTCACCTTCTTAATTTTTTCTCCTCCGGCATGGCATCTCACATGTATGCCCCAAGCTTCACTCATCATAGTAGAATTTTGTATTTTCTAAAAATGCATATCATCCACGCATTGATGGATGATGAACAAAGCTTTATCATCTTTCATTTTAAACTCCTTCTTCTGCTCCTTTGTGTCGCCACCAAGACCAGGCTCATATCCTCTTTCTTCCACAATTGCACTGACGACTTGATAACAAAACAAAACCTTCATCTGTGCACTCCACCTGCTCTAGTTTTTGTCTGTGAGAACAGGAAAGCTTGCAGCATGAATATCAGCCATGACACCTTTTCTTTCTTGCCCAAGAACTGTCTTCTTGACCACCTTCAAACGTTTCAACCATACCCTTCAGCCACCATAGTATCACCGTGAGGAAAAGATTGAAAACGCACGCCCTCCAGCCACCGTAGTGTCCCTGGATACCACTATTGAAACAAAAAACTATAAAAGGTAGAGAAAGCTTGACACGAAGGGGAGAAAATAAGCAAACTGAATAACATCATTCTTATTGAATGAATGAAACAACTCTTATATACAGAGTATTCGGTTAAAGTGCTTGACCATGGCTAGGGGATTTGCCATCATTCCCTCCCTCTTGAAAAGGATTTGCCCTCAAATCTTCAACATGGAACAAGGCAAACTTCCTTATCTTCTTTGGAGTTTTGTGTGCTTCTCCACCAAGGTCAAATACCCATTTTATAACACAAGTTAAAACAAATGTTATAATAGTGAGTAAATGAAGAATATAGCTCCTAACAATGATACACCTTAAATCAAATGAATGATCAAGGTCTTGAAGAGTAAGAGCATCTTTGAAGCTTTTATTTGTCTTTTGTTGGATGTATATGTTTGAAAGACTATCCATTCCAACACAAGACTTAATTTTTTAGGGATATGCCATCATACCCTCCCTTTTGAAAAGGATTTGTCCTCAAATCTTCTTGTTCTTTTATGACAAAAACCTTTTTCTTATTATTCGTTAATTTGTGTATCTTTCCACCAGAATCGATTCATATGCAAGTGTCATCAAACACAAAACCAATAATCTTTTGAGCCACAAACAACATGTATCTAGATGAAAGATTTAAAGAAGAGCTTATACTGATTTTAAAAGAATTTACTTGAAAACTTTGAAGGTCTATTCCACAAAATTGTTTGTGTTTACTTTGAGTTAATTGAATCCTAGAAGGTAACATCAACTCAAAGTTTGATTTGGAAAATTTTGAGGAGTTAAAAATAGTGGGAGGTAAAAAAGAAGTTGAAGATTTTCAAAAGTAAAAGTTGAAGTTATGAAAGATGGTTGGGTGTATTGAGAAAAGTTCAAAGATTGGAAATTTCACTTCATCATCTTAGTCTTAATCTTAATTGTGGGAGTGGTAGGGGGCTTTGGTAACTCTTCCTTTTCTTCTTTTATCTCAATCTCTTCTTTTTCTCTCTTTTCTTTCTCATTCCTTTCTTTTATCTTTTTCTCTTCATACTCTCTTCTTCTTTCCTCCTCCTTTTTCTCTCTTCTTACTTGCTCCTCTTTCTCTCTTTGTTCTTTCTCTCTTTTCTCATGCTCATATTTCTCTCTTTGTTCTTTCTTCCTTCTTTTGTCTTCATCTCTACTTCTCTTTATCTTCCTTAAATCCTTTTGGACTTTTTCTTGTTTTTCATTAAGGATTATAAGTTCTTCTTCTAAGGTAGCAAGATATTATTTTCTTTCAACTCTTTCTTTCTTCTCTATCTCTCTCATCTCACATATTTGCTCTTGGTTTATTAAAAGGGAAGAAGCAACAAATTTTCTTCTCATGCATGATCTCAAGTCACACAAATCTTTAATGTGAGATTTTCTACCTTTCTCAACCTTAGATTGTCTTTGATTCCACCATTCACTTGCATGTCCTATAAGCCTAGAGATGCATAAACTAAGTATATGATATTTACCATGCCTAACTAAGAATGGATGAAGTTCTTATATTCTTTTCTCCCATGCTAGGTATGATAATGCACTAGTATTCTCACCAAAGAATGGAAGGTCACTCTTAACTTTAGAATGTAGCTCAACCTCACCATGACTTAAATGCAAGCTACTATAAAAACTCATTTGTTTTAAAAGAATTTTGAAAAACAATTTTCACAAATAATCTTAGACATTTTTAATATTTTCAAAATGGCTTATGCAAAACAACTTAGTATTTCAAATAAAATTCCTTAAAAGACTTAAGGAGACAAGAGAAGCTTAAGTTCACTTCTAGGAAAGAGAGGTGAATCATTATGGATTGCTTATAAACCAAGTCTTTCCTAGCCAAATCTTACCTCAAGTTCTCTTGTACCAAACTTCTCAAAGGGATTTAAACTTGAAATAAAAGTTGACACACACTAGACTATCACAATTAAAGAAAGCAATTAAAGCTAATCTATGCGGCCTAATGGTGAAGTTAGAAGGAACTTTGGTTCCCTCTTACCCACCAACTACAAATTTCGCTTAAATAATAAATATCCAATGTTCTTGTTAGGAAAAACCCCTAACAAGCCAAAAATACAAGTCCAAAAAGGAAAACAACTACAATTTTACAATTCAAAGAAAATACACACAAATCTCTTTCTCACCAAGCATATACTCTCTTATTTTGTGTTTTAGACCAAGACTTTAAGCTTCCCTTCAAGGCCTCCTCACCTTTGGATGTTACTCACTGTTTTGGGCTGTCCTCCTCATGATCCTCACGTTTTTTTACCATCCAAAGACCTACACCACAAGTTAACACCACTAAAACCAAAAGGAGTCCAAGGAAAAAGCAAGAAAAGGTCTAAAATGAACAAAGGCTCTTCAAAAGGATTTTTACTTTGACAAAACCATTAATGTTTAGAAAAACATCAAGCAATTAAATGGTAAGAAAGAAAGGTTAGCACAACAAAAGGAGTTACCTAAAGAAAGGCACTAGAATGGATCACAAAAAACCAACACTACTAGAAAAACACAAGGTGCTTTTGTCCTTTGGCAAGCTAGATCAAATGGTACACTAAGGCAACCTTTTTAGATCATCATGGCTTCTGGAACAGAAGCTTGAGGACATAAAAATAAGCTCCAAATCAACATCAAAGTGCTCACACAAAATCGGTTAAAGATGGTACATGCATGTGCTTTTACTTTTACTTTTTTGCTTTTGTTTTTGTACTTTTTGTCTACTTTTTCTTTTGTACCTTTTGTCTCTTCTTGTTTTTTGAAAATTTTAGCACAAACACACACCAAATTAGATCTCAAATCTGGAATTTTACAAGGAGTTTCAAGTTCATACAAGCTTATAGCACCAAAATGAAGAAAACCTAGAATCAAATATAGCATGAAACACAAAAAGTGACATGATGGAAACCTAACTCTATGAACTTTTTCATCATCTAACAACAAGTATGAACTCAAATATGCAAAGAAAAAGCACTCAAAGGTACTCAAATGAAACAGTTTTGAAATTTACTCAAACATGTATTTTTGGTGATTTTTCAAAGGTTAAACATGGAAGTAAAGACATGTAAAAGACTAAACATGACTCTAGACAACATGGATGGATTCAAAAATAAAAATGACACAAAATAAGCATATAAGACCAAACAAAACAGAAAGGAATGACTCAAAAAAAAAGGCACAAAAATGTAACCAAAACTACCAAAAACGAACTTGAAAACCGCTAATGACATAATCCTGGCAGCTTTGACCATTGCTGATTGTTTTACTTTTAACTTTCTCCACAAAACTCCAAATGAAGTGATTCTTTTTTTGTTGGAAACTAGAATCAAAGGGCTTTCATTTGAATATTTTTACGTATTTTTTGGACAATTGAGATAGATGCAGTTTAAGTTTGAAAATCATCACAGTTTGTTGCCAGAACAAATGATGATAGATGAAAAAAAAACACACAAGACAAGTAGGAAAATAACATCAACAACATGGAAGAATAAAGGATAGATAAGGACCAAAAGACTTAGCTCTTGAAGAACCAAAGCTCTGATACCAAATGATGGAAACCTCCTTGGCTAGGTTGGGTCAAAGCTAGGAGATGTGCATGGAGGGGTGTTCCTTGGATGAATGGTGTGAAAATGTGGTAGTAAAGGTTCCAAGGATGATGAGCTAATGTATGAATGGTGTAGAAGTTCAAAGCTTCTAGGAGATATGGTGGTGGTGGTGTAGTGTTTGGTGGCTCCAAGAGAGGTTAGGCCAACTCAAGGAGGTTATACAAAAAAAAAAGAGTATAAAAATTAAGTCCAAGACTGTATACCTTCCACAATTTACTTTTGAAGAGGACACTATTTGTATCAAGCAAATCATCAAACCGATCTGCCTCTTTCTTGGAATCCAATATAGCTTTCTCCATTTCCTCGTCTTGTTCTGCATTAAAGAAACACTTACGTTTCTTGGCATCAAGCACTAAATCATTCCAAACATTTTCATTGTTTGTAATGGCCCATTCATTCCCCAAAATCCATAAGCAGTGCCTGCAAGATATGAAACCAAATGCAGTTTTTTAGTTAATANCCCTCAAATCTTCAACATGGAACAAGGCAAACTTCCTTATCTTCTTTGGAGTTTTGTGTGCTTCTCCACCAAGGTCAAATACCCATTTTATAACACAAGTTAAAACAAATGTTATAATAGTGAGTAAATGAAGAATATAGCTCCTAACAATGATACACCTTAAATCAAATGAATGATCAAGGTCTTGAAGAGTAAGAGCATCTTTGAAGCTTTTATTTGTCTTTTGTTGGATGTATATGTTTGAAAGACTATCCATTCCAACACAAGACTTAATTTTTTAGGGATATGCCATCATACCCTCCCTTTTGAAAAGGATTTGTCCTCAAATCTTCTTGTTCTTTTATGACAAAAACCTTTTTCTTATTATTCGTTAATTTGTGTATCTTTCCACCAGAATCGATTCATATGCAAGTGT